AGAGACGAACACATGGAGGCAGTCAGCCGGCTGAAGCAGGTGTGTGTGTGTGTGTGTACGTGCGCAGCCACCTGCCATCTTCCCCTGGGAGCTGCTGCTCGGCAGCGTGAGGTTCCTAGGCCCATCTGTTCCTCTCCCTTCCTGCCACAATCGCCCATCTGCCGGATCACTCTTATTTATTGACATCTCCGTCCCGCCTTTCTTCCTTCAACCACACGACAGTAGACCTGCGGGGGTGTGTGTGTGAATGCAGGCCCCAAGTGGACCCAGACTGGCTTAGCGTCGTGGGCTCTCGCGCTGTGCCCAGAGATCTGGTGTGCCTGCAGAGCCTGGCACCGATCAGCAGATGGCGCCATCCCCAATTCAGGAATTTGGATGGCGATTTCTCCTACCGCCCTTCCCTCCAGGAGCCCTGGCTTCCCGGAACTGGAGACATCTGGGCATCGTAGGGTCGCTTTCAGTACTCCCTCTAAGCTGAGCACATAAGCAGCCGCTCATTAACACAGGATGCCCCGCTCAGTAGCAACCTGGAGCCCCGCGGGGTCTCGCGCGGCCCGTTGCCCTTTTTAAGAATATAACAGTTACGTTCTGCTCAGGATGCGATCTGCTCCACAGAGCTGAGTGGGGAGGGGGGGAATTAGAGAGAACATTGGCTGCTTTGTGGATCTTCGGTCCCACTCAAAGTCCTTCCCCTGCCTCGTCGTCCTTTATGTCCTGGTTGAGACCAAAGGTCTGCGGAAAAGGAGAGGCCAGAATTTGGAGCTCAGGCAGGGGTCCCCAACGTGGTGCCCGTGGGCGCCACGGCACCCACAGACACTTTTCCCGGTGCCCACCAAGTGTTTGTAGAAAGTGGGTGGGGCCTGGCCGAGCTTTTGCTCGGCAAGGCCTCCGACTGGCCACTGATGGTTTGATTGGCTGGGCAGACATTTAAAAACATGGCTTCGGCTGCAGTTGCCACCACAGCGCAAGGCTCTTCGCAGAGTGATGGAAGGTAAGCCGCAGCCGATGTCTGGCTGGCTCTACCCCTGTATCACAGCCATTTTGTGGCTGCGCCCACCACACTGTGTCAGAATTCCCGAGTCGCTTGCAAGATCAAAAAGGTTGGGGACCCCTGACCTAAGGTTCGATCCATCAAAGGGTACAGTGCTCTACTTGGGGACTCTCCCTTGGATGAGATTTGCCTAACAGTTAACTATTATCATCCCATACAGTTTGGCCTTTCCTTCACAGGGACAGAGTACTGTGTCCATTTTAACTGCCCCTTTGGGCAGTTTGGTGTCGTGGTTTAAGTGCGTGGACTCTAATCTGGGAGAACTGGGTTTGATTCCCCGCCCCTTCACTTGCATCTGCTGGACGGCCTTGGGCAAGCCATAGTTCTGTCAGAGCTGTCCTTGAAAAAGAGCCGTTTCTGTCGGAGCTCTC